CACCCTGCCCTCCTGCGCAGCGGGCCCGAGGTGCGTGTCCTGCTCTTCAACGCCACCGGGAACCGGGACCCGGCGGCCCTGCTGCAGCCGCTGCAGGTGAGGGGCCGACCCCAAGTCCAGGCAGCCCCCGTTCCGGCCGTGGGAACCCCGGCAGCTGCTGCGGTTTCCTCTCCTGTAAACAGTGGTGCCGACCCCTCTCCCGTGAGTCGCACTGGGAAGAAGCGTGAAGGCAGCCGCCAGCCGTCATCCCACCTTCTGCACAGCCAGGCTCAGGCCCAGGGCTGAAGGGAGGGCCGCGGCTGTCGAAAGCCCAGACTCACTTGCTTTGCCTCTTGAGCCACTGGCACGTGGCCCCGGACGAGAGACGGCATTTCGCTGAGCCTTGGTCGCCTCTCCATGAGACGGGGCTGCTTCTCACGTTTGGCTTGGGAGTTGCTGGGCTATGAAGCACTGGAGGCCGTTCTCTGCCTGGGGAAACTGAGGCTGCCCTGAGCCGCCAGGGCTGCAGTGGCTCCCAAGGGCCACCTCCTGTTTCACAGGCCCGGAGGATATCCGGAACCTCCCGCGTTTGTGCAGAGCTCGTCCCCCAGCCTGGGTTTGGGGCCTGCTCACTGGCCGGGTGGCCTCCAGCAAGCGCCCTCACTTCCTCGCCTCTGTTCCCCTGTCTGCACAGAAGGCCCTGCCTGGCTGCCCGGGCCAGCAGGCGGTGCTGAGGCCGATGGGGACAGAACTGAGGGACGTGGCAAGGCTTACACGGGCCGTTTCAGTCAGGGGAAGTTCTCCAGAGCTGTGGGCGCAGGGGCAGGGGCGGTGTGGAAGTCGGGGGCATCGCCTCACAGGCCTGACGCCAAGTCTTTCCCTTGGCCTCCAGCCCTGCCAGTTTGACTATGCCGTCTTCTGCCCCAACCTGACAGAGGTGGCATCCATCGGCAACGCAGGTGAGAGGTGACAGGTGTGGTCCCGGGTGTGTGCAGGGGGCATGTTGGTGACAGTGAGGGCTGCCAAATTGGAGGTCTGGTGGAGGAGATAGATTTTATTGTGTAAGGACATTTTGGTACACTTTGGATTTTTTTTTTTTTTTT